CTGATCTGATGCAAAGACTTTCGCCTACTGAAAGATTTGAAACTAAGAAAATGCGAATGGGGGAAAAAAAACCACCAAAGTCTGTTTTCTCCATTAATCTGGCCAACACAAAAAAATTAATCTTGGCTTTTAAATGTGTTTATACAATGGATAAAAAACAATATAAAATGTTAAGTAGGTAAATACTAGAAGAAAACTTAAAACCATTTTTAGGGTAGTGACATTACATCTTCAATAGGGCTTTCTGGTTTCATATTAAACTGGAAATAGTTACTGTGACATTTAAAAATTAAGCATCTTGATCTGAAGTTGGTATCTAAAGAAGATATCTTTCAATACCCTCCTTATTACATCCTAAAGAGTTTTTAGCACTTACTGTGCGTCAGCCACTTTTCTAAACACTTGACATGCATTTTCTCATTTATTCCCCACAAAAATCCTATGAAGTAGATACTATTCCACCCGCATTTTACAGAGGAAAAGGATGAGAACCAGAGAAGCTAAGTACGTGACTGAAGGCCACACAAGGTAAGTAAGTGGTGATCCTAAATCAGGCAGTGGGGCTCAATGCCCCTGATCCTCTTGTCTTCACTGCTTCTCTGGGGAGGACAAGGAAGGTGCATGACACCTCCCAGCAGCTGCCACTCAGTGTTGGGTTTGTCCCTGCCCAGCGGGACTACCAGGAACCCTGAGCCAAACTGCCACATCCTTGGGTAGGCTTTCCTTAAGTCAGCCTCCCTTCATAGCATCCTTCACTGAATCAAAGGCCCAACCCACAAATCTTTATGTTAACAGTTCCAATTGTAAAATGACCGGTTTCTTATCTAGCTAGAAGTTCCCACCGTGAGCAAGGAGGAAAGTATACCTATGGGGGCAAGAGCCCTGAATCCCCACTTTTCAAGATGACTTAGAATTGGAACAGGTAAGAAAGAACAGCCATAAGACAGTATCTATGGTGTTGCTAGCTGACCCCCTGTAAGAACTTGTAGTTACCTAGTTTTCTGAACAGCTGAAACATTAAGATTGTATGATTTTTCATACCATAATTCTCCAATATAAACAAATATCCTTAACTTTTATATTAGCTTAAGTTTGTAGCTAAGTATTTCACTGAAATGCGACCTGTTAGAGGTTACTTCTCAACTTGGTTTATGAAAGGTATCTATGAAGTTATCAAATTAGATATCTAAAAATTAGATCAGGTATAGTTAAACCTGATCATCTGACTACTGATTTCAAGCTAGGATTTAAATCATAGCCCCTCTTTTCTCAGAGGCTGGACTTCAAGTCTTATAACTGATTCTCTCCAAGAAGGCTAGGAGAATTACTCAAATCAGTCCACTTCTGGTGCCTTTTTTTTTTACCGGTTTAAATTTTTTTTTTTTAATATTTATTCTTCAGAGAGAGAGACAGAGCATGAGCTGGGGAGGGGCAGAGAGAGGGAGGAACACAGAATCCGAGGCAGGCTCCAGGCTCAGAGCTGTCAGCGCAGCTGTCAGGGTTTGAACTCACGAGCCGCAAGATCATGACCTGAGCTGAAGTCGGACGCTCAACCGACTGAGCCACCCAGATGCCCCTTTTAAATGGTTTTAAAGCAAAGATATAAACATGGCTGTATCATGGTGACTAAGTGCCCATCAGCCACAAATCAGGGTGGAGTGCCTCCTCTGAAGATCCCTACAGACACCAAAATGGTGCCAAGGCAATGAGCACACATGAAATTAAACTCAGTAAAATCCAATCCCTACTTTTTTTAGCTGGTAGATTGGACAGGTATGATTAACACTGGGCAGTACTAAGCTGAATGTTAGCAGTGCCCCCTGCTTTTATACCCTGTTCAACTGGCAGGTGATAAAATTTGATAAGGAATCAGTGACAAGACACAGGAGCAGAGAAGGAGCAGCACCAAATATGTATATCCTAAAATCAGTCTGTCTACTCAAAGAAAAAAAACATGGATCTGATTAGTGGAACAGTCCAAAGCATTTCTACTTTGTGTTTGAAGCAGAAGATGGTGTCACCAAGAGCAGGTACCACACCTCAAGAACTAGTAAACAACAAGGACCTCTGATGAAGGTAAGAAAAATTTGAATAGGCCTCAAAGTCTTTCCATTAATAAGCATGACCACCTTATCTTGTTTTCCTAAACCAACAGTTCTCAAACTTGAATCAGAGTCAGAATTCCCTGAAAGACTTGTTATATGTGGACAACAAGGCCCTATCCCTAGAATCTGATTCAATACCACTGAAATGGGGCTTGAGGTTTTATATTTCTAAGAGGTTACCAGTTGGTGCTAAACACTAGTTCAGAGACCACTGTTTGAGAACCACTGTCTAAAAACACTTTTAATCCATGACTTTGAGGGGGAGATCCCACTGTGTAACCTCCAAAAGCCCTTCAACATAATTCAAACACTTTATACATGCACATTTAAGTGTTACCAAAACATAGCTTTTGGTCTTGGGAATCTGGCCTAGCGAAACGGACCTGAGTGAGCTTATAAATTAAGGGCTCAAGATTCCCAGAATAACAGGTGCATATGATACATCCACTTACAACCATTCCAGTTAATCATCACTGAGGCTTAGGGGTAGGCCTGAAAGTACCTAATGTGATTCTTAACTTGACTTCCTAATACATTCATGGAAACACAATGGACACCAACAGAACCCTAGGGAGTAATTATGCATCTGACTTGCTTGACAACATCAAGACCATATATCAAGTTCTCCAAGGAAGACTAAAGACTTGCTATTCAAAGTATGGTCAGTGGACCTGCAGTAAGGGCACCACCTGGGAGGTTAAAAAGCCAAAATTTGAAGCCCACTCCTAACAGAATTCACACTTTATAAGGATTCATAGGTAATCCCCAGACAAACCAACATTTAGGAAGCAAGGTGGACAATATAGCACAGGAGACTCTGATATGTTACTTTTTTTTTTTTTTTTTAACATTTATTTATTTTTGGGACAGAGAGAGACACAGCATGAACGGGGGAGGGGCAGAGAGAGAGGGAGACACGGAATCGGAAACAGGCTCCAGGCTCCGAGCCATCAGCCCAGAGCCCGACGCGGGGCTCGAACCCACGGGCCGCGAGATCGTGACCTGGGTGAAGTCGGACGCTTAACCGACTGCGACACCCAGGCGCCCCTGATATGTTACTTTTAAAAGCACTAGGACAAATATCTGGACTTCTCCACCTTCATGGAAAAAACTCTAGAATTCTGAACAGACTACTAACATCATCTCATAAAACAAATGAATGCTAAACTAAGAAGGGTCAAAGTTTAAGAAGCCCTCTCATCTAGCCAATATGTTTTTTAGTCTTGTAGTTAACATTCCACATTTACAAGTTCTCACAAACACATCACCTATAAAAATCACTGAGGACAGTTTCCTTCTATTGCTTCCAAACTTTCTAGCCCACGCAGAAACATTACTATATGCTTTATTCCAATAGTTTGATCTCAGTATGTAGGTAAGGAGTAGGATGGCTGAAGTATTATTCCAGTTGTGCAAAAACAGACCACTTACTATAGTTCTCAGAACACAGGATTGTTTCAAGCTTTCTTCAAAGGAGAAAGGCTTAGTTTGCCTCAAGGACTAGATTAAGTAGACTGTGAGAAACACATATGCATGAAACCACTACCCTAACACTGCCTAAACATGATCCTAAAACTGCCATGAACTAAATCTTCTCGAATGGAATGGACAGTAAGCCAATTTCCAATCAATTTTGGTAGAGAAGACCATTATATCTAAGATTCACTGTCATTAACCTAAAAAATGTTCTTAATCATTTCTTTGAGGCACATTTATCTAAGTATGACAAAATTCTAAGACTATATTATCAAAAGTGGGCAAGATTGACCTTCTTTATCTTTACTGTAGACACACACAAGTTCTAGCCTAAGAGAGATCAATAATACCTTCCCTAAAAATGACTTAAGCCTAAATATGGATATACACATAAAGATGGTCTATACATGCCACCCTTCGATCATTATGAAAGTGATTCAAAAGCCTCTCTGCCTGGATTCTACAAGTAGAATACCAATTAAGAACTTTTATTCAAAAAGTGCTAGGAAAGTTGAAGTCACGTAAGCATATAAAATAAGCAGTTCAAATCAGTTTCTCTTCATTTAATAAGATTTTCTGCATTTGGAATTCAACTATCAACATTTTAGATAATGAATTTAAATTGTGAAACATGGCTTCAGCACTTTCAGGTTTGAGAAAAACATTTGGGAAGACCAAATCTGAATGAAAAAATGAAATGCTATCAGATTTTTTTTAATACTAAAAATGAATATTACTCTAACAGCACTTGATACTTTACCAAGTAGTGGCACCAGTACACAAACAAGGCCTGACTTCAAAATATTAATCATTATTCTGGAAAGTCAGGAATAATAACCACATCAGAACCCTTGATTGGGTCCATACTTAGGAAATACAGATATGGGACCAACTAGAACATGACTCTTCCTGTCAACAGTCCCAAGCACATTTTTTGTACTCCGGCCAATACATTTCAGGGAACAAAAAATGAATTCACAGCTGAGTCCTGTCAACCTCTTCAGAAACATTTAGGAGCCAGTAAGATACTGAGCAGTAGCTTCAACAAGTACAGAACCTGGAGTGATTTGCATGCAAAACTGGAATCCTTACTCTGCAGTATATAAATCAGTAATAGACCAGTTATGGTTGTTATAGAACATTTGAGCCAACATACACTGATCCACAAATTCATATGCCATCTAAGCCAATATTCCCTTCACGTGAAAACTACTCAGAAGCAAATTCTAGTTTAAATTGCGTATTCACACTTCCAGAAAAAAATTCAAAGAAATGCTTTACTAAATTTAGTAATATTTAGTCCATATAGTGAGTCAGAATGAGACTCCCACTTTTGATAATACTAATGGAATATCTACACAATGTTACCAACCTCCCCCACCTATAAAGAAACACTATTTCATTAGTAACAAAGCTTACTTTTGTATAGCGATGGGGGGATTTGGAGGCTGGTTGCTTCTTCAGGTCAAGAAAGGCATCTCCGTTTTCTGTTTCTCCCACACTTCTCCTATCCATGGCTCCTTGGTCTACAATTCTTTGCACCTGGAAGATAAATCAGCAAAACTGTTACAGAGAACACTATGTTTTCAGAAGACTGTTTAAAACACTGAAACTCTTTTATCTCTTAAAATGACTACCTTTTAAAAACAAAGTCTCATTCAACAACTATTCCATAAACCAGAACCCACTTGGAAATAGAACGACTGGTACTTAGCTCTTCTAGTTAAGTGTTCTAAGCATCAAGGGGGTAAGGAAAGCATAAGTAGAAGGTGCCCAAATCAGGGTACAGCCTTCAAGCAGCTTTAAAACAAAAAGAAACCAAAATTAGTCACTGCCACCCATGAGGACCTTTCAGACAGCAGTGGGGAAGTTTTCCGAGTGGGGGCAGGTAGGAGACTAGTTGGGGCTGGGGATCCGGGAAGTCGGACTGTGGTAAAGTGCCTGTCACTTGCCAATGGACGGCGCCAGCTGCCCCTTGTTATCCAGAGGCCAGGGGCTGGGGCCCGAGCGCCCCCCACCCGGCCGGCGGCACCTGTGGCCATGTCAGGGGCGCCCGTAGCAAGGAAGGGGCGAGATCCGGCTTCAGCTCCGAAACTCGGCTTTCCCGGGCCGCGACCCCAACCACCGGCCCCTCGCGCAGGCCGCGGCCCAGCGGCCTCCTTCGGAGGAAGGGCGGGGACTGTACTCACGGAGGGGAGGCGGGCCGAAGGGAGCGGGGAGACCGAATCCCCCGGCCCGGCCGCTCCAAGCTGGAGCCGGCGCAGGCCCGCCGCCGTCCGCCCCGGCCCGGCGGCTCGGGCCCCGCCA